ACATTTCAGATAGAAAAGAAAGTATCATTCAGGCAAGTGAATGAACGTGTGTGGACTGGTTACTCAACATAGTCAGTTAATCTCACAGAATTAGGGAGGAGGGAAGCTACATAGTGGCCTTCAAGCTCCTTCTAGAATTTTGCCCAGGTTCCTCCCAAGTAGTCGGTGAATTTTTCTGATTTGTATCCAGCAACCTCAAGGTTTAGTGTACATCTGTAAGCTGGAAAGTATGGATTTTTGCCATTCCTTTTCCCCTGTCTCCTGCCCTTACACCTGAGAAAACAAACAATAGTATATAGGTTTTTATTCTGTATTAGAATTTGCACATCATGTAATCTGAGATGGATCCAGCTGAGACTGTAACAGCCTTAGAGTTGAAAGTAAAGAAAAGTAGAACTTTCATGTTTTCTTTACTTTGAGAAAAGCTCAGTGACTTAGACTATTTGAAGGAGAATGTATATAAAACACTGTTAATTGAATATCTGGAATAAATCACTAGCTTTTTCTTTGTTTTTGTGCTTTAAACAATTTATTTAACTGAAATGCTCCCATTTATTTGATACAACTTTTCCTTATGGTGATTTAGAGGATCTTCAAGCCAATATAAATATTTCATAAATATTGGCCATTTGGGTATACACTTGCACAGTACCTCACATCTTTTTTTTTATACCTCACGTCTTTCAGCAAGGGCAACACCGAAGAGTAAAGACCTGACACAGTTAACTAGGCCCAATGAAAATCTGTTGCAAATATTTGTTTCTCTGAGGTAAAGAAAACACACACCTGTTCTATTAAGAAAACCATCCTTATGACTCAGGATGATGTTTTATTTTTAAATAGACCTAGAACACTTAGCAGTCAATTAGGTGCTGAATGGCAGAGCTACCTCACCAGCTTATACCATGAACTCAGAGGGAAGAAGTTCCAGCAACTCAGGCTCCTTTTCATTGGTTTTCATGAAATGTGCTTCTCTGGGTAGGGCAGGGTGGTGCTTCTGGGTACCTTTTTGACTTCCTTTTTTTCTGATCATTTTCCTTGATGTGTTTGAGGAAGCTATCTCACCTCTTTGAGTGTTTAATATGCTAATATGCACATTAATCCTCTTGACAAGTAACTTGCCCTTAACTTGCTTGTTTACAACAATGCCAGTACCATGCATTGTAGACTCTTCCAGTTTTGCCATGGTAATGTTTGTGTAGCATTCCTTTTTTTTAAAAAAAGTAACTATCTATTGATGTGTACAGTATCATACTTTTTATAGATTTTCATGTGTGTGGCCAAAGGAACAACCCCATGTTTTCTAAAAGGCCTAGAGAATGTATGCCAGGTTTCCCTCTTTCTGTTTGTGTTCATCATTTTGGCAAACTGCCTGATGATGACGTTGCCTATAGTTACCTGTAGTCAATTTTAGTTGCCTGTCAGTCTGGTCTTCTGAATACGGGCTGCTTGTCATGACATGCCAGTTGCTGCCATGCTGTCTCTCAGGTAGATGATTGTTCAAAAAGAAGGGGGTGGTGAATGAAGGCAGGAGACAGGAAAAGGAATGTTGTAGGACTGTCCTGCTTCAAGGTTGTATATGGTTAGATTTCTGGACTTATGTGTAAACATAAGAATTATATAATTCTTTATGCCCATTTTTAAAATATATTCTAATTTTTAAATGTTTTTTCATCAGATTCTATAGGGACTTAAAGTTCAACATATCAATACTTGATGAAAAATACCTGTTCCATGTTATGCCTAAGATGTTTGATATTCAGACAGATAGTGAGGTTAAGCTTAACAGCCTAGGTTGGATGGTAATAACAACAAACTTGTCTTCTGGAGGGTTAACAACATAAGTTTGCAGACCAAAATTAGAGAAAAAGGAGGGCCACAAGGAAAGTCAACATTTTGGCCCTAGCCTTCCAAGGTCAATTAAGACTCAGGACATATGAGAACTTGTACTGTAATGTCATGTAACTCAGTAGGGTCCCAAATTTTCTGATGAAGGAGATTATGGGGCCGAAGAGGAAAGTGGTCCATGATGTAGAGTGTGCCTAAGGAGAGTCACATAGAGAGAAAACATTTTCTCAGGCTTTCACAGAGAGCACATTGGCCAAGAATGGCCATGACTCATCTACATGGCTGACACTGACAAAGGTTCTACAATCTGAGGTACAGGATCTCAGGATAAATCCTGAGGGGATTTAATTGACCTTATCAGATCCAAAAGCTACAACTTTTGTTGCATAGGTTTTGCTTTATCTTGGTCTTAACCATCCAGCAGAAAAATATATAAAAACAAAGTGTAAGAAGTAAAGCCATGCTGTTATGTTGAGCTGTAGGGGACTCAGGTCAACAATTTCTGACATTGCCAGTCAAGCGGAAGACCCAATACTATTATGGACTACTGGATTCTTTTGGAATATTTTGATGAGTTAACACACCTATAATATTCAAGTGATGGAACTAAACAAAAAAGGGGATACAGATGAATGTCCATTTTGTATCTGTGTATTCAAAATGGTTACAATAGATATATAGTGACATTATCTTAATGAATAGAGGCATTTGTTCTAATAGAGTTTGTAAATAGGATATCATGTCTGCATCTTGTACAGCAAATGACCACTAGGAAGAATGTATGCAATGTGTTAATTATTGAAACTGTCCTTTCAATTTGATTTGAAACTGTCTCGTTGCTATTTGTTTATCAATAAAATTATGGAAAAAATAAAAAATAAAAAAATAAAAAAATTTTAGTTTACCTGTAGTATAGGTAAACTAAACTAAAAGGAAGGAGATCGCCTTTCTTTAATGTCATTGAAATTTTTCTGCCTACAACTTAGAGCTTTTCAATGGAGAATTTAAACTTTAAACACTTTGAACTTTGAAGAACAAAAAATCCTTATAACCTGTGGTTTAGACCAAGAAGTCCCAGCCTTATGCAGTTCCATGTGTAAGCCTTATAATTATTTTCTTTTCTTTGAGGCTTGAATATTTCAGAAAGCTTTTGGCATGTCTCTTGGAGGATTGCTATATGAACAGTCGGAAAAGCAACTGATTTGTGGGTTGACTTCACTTACAGGTGTAAGTTTTACTTTGGCTACAAGGCAGTCATTCTAATCGTGTATGGGACCAAAAGGCAGCATCCAGGATAGGTAAGGTGGTTTGCTAAGGTCAAATTAGCATGTGGGACCTAAAGTGTCATAAGTCTTACCAGCAATTTTAGTTATCTATAGTCAATTTTAGTTTACCTATAGTATAGAAATTTCTGGTTCAATGTATTCTAGGTCCTTCTTGACTCAAAGAATTGGATGAGACAAGCCAAAAATGGGACCAAAAGGGTATTTGAAAAGTGAGGGGTGAATGCAAATGGGAGAAACCAGCTATGTAGAACCAACTGAGGCAGAACAAGAGAGAAAGATAAAAGCAAAAATTAAAGTATACGCAGCATCTGAGAAAAGTAGCATGGGCTATGGTGGGAAGTTAGGATAGCAGGCTTCCTGTGATATCTGCTCCTCTGAGTTCCCCAGAAGTTTCACATAAGGGGTCCTGGTTTTGCTGTGGGACCATGTAACTTACAGGTCCTGCTCATTTTCCCAGCCAGCGTTACCAAGCCCTATCTCCTATAGGTATATCTGCACTATGGTAGAGGAGCAACTGAAGATTAATTTATTGCTAAATTCATGCTTTATGAAATATAGTTGTTAAATTGGTTCCATACCAAGGATTACCATTTCTTAGGACTTATTCTTCCAGAAAACCCTTTTGATACTGAAAGTACATTGAAGCTGTTGACATTTTTCCCCATGTACAGGATAGTCTATAATTTAAAATGTGTAATTTACATACTTGTAATAAGGGATATATTTTTATTATTTATTTATTTATTATTTTTGTGGAACTGGGGATTGAACTCAGATCCTTGTGTTTGCCAGTCAAGCGCTTATCCTACTGAGCCATCTCCCCGGCCACAGAGATATATTTTTAAACTAAATTACATTTTATTTTTGAGTTTAAGTTCATTCAAATGATTGGGAATTTATTAACTCTTCTGTGTGCCCATCTTTAAAGATAATGTCTGGAAGTTTTCCTTTGCCCTTGAAGGGAAGACATTGACTGAGAAGCAGAGATAAACAGATAATTATAATGTATCAAGTGCTGAGATAGATACTACTGTGAATATGGAGAGCGAACCCCCCACACCCATCACCCCACTCCAGCAATGATTAACTCTTAGTTAAGCTTGTTTTACCTTTAAGTGCACTTGCTCCTCTCTCTCTCCTTTTACAGTGTATTGCAGCACATCCAAGACACTATATCATGTGGTGGACATTTATATATATGAATGGAGTGCTCTCAGAAGGCACTGCCAAAATTATCCCCAGTTAGGATAGCAGCTATAAAATGAAGTAATATTCGAGTTCCTAACTAGGTGAAGAAGGGATGTTCTAGTTTCTGGTGATGCTACCGGAACCAACAATATTTCAGTGTCTTGAAAACATTTGTATGCACAGTATTTTTTGTTCCTCTGAAGTGAACACCAAAGATGCAATTTCCATGATTAGGAAATTATTTTGCTGAGAACTTTGTAAAGCTGATTCACTTTGAATGTCAGTAAACTAGGATAAGCCACAAGTAGTGGTAATGGCTAATCTTTTCCCTTTTTACTCAGTGACTTTTTAGACTTTGTACATTATAATCCACCCCCTGAAAAATCATGCTCCTTTGTATGAAGAGTAACAGCCATCCTTGTCACTTTTATTTTTATCTTTGAAAGAGGGAGAATAATCAGCTCTGAACATCATGAGTAGGTGGAACTTAATGATTTCAATTAACAACTTTCTTATAAACTGGAAGAAAAAGAAATTAACATTAGGTACACATAGGTTCCTAAGGGATGTTTTGGTTTGCTACACTGTTAAATCCTTGATTTTTTGTTATATCCTTTCTCTCATTTTCCTATTATAAAATGTTTTACCCAAAGCATTGTTTTCCTTATCTATTTCCAGATCACGGAGCTGTGTGGTGCAAAGCGGGTTGGTTATTTTGGTCCGACACAGTTTTACGTTGCCCTGAAATTAATCGCTGCGGTGCAGTCTGGCCTCCCTGTGCGGATAGAGAGTATTAAGTGTGGTGAGTACCTCATATTTATATGTTACCCACAACCAGTTTCTTGTTTGTGTGAGCTGTTTTCAATGGATTTAAAGACTATTCTTAAAGCTTTTGTGGTATTTATCCTCACTTCCTTCAACTCCTCTGTAAAATAAAATGGGAAAACTTGGCAAGTAGTTTAGTTTGTTTCCTTTTGATATGAAGAAAAAAAATGAGAGTGGTTTGAGATTAGTTCCTCTAAACTGACTTGTATTTAAAATGGATTTTTTTAGTAGCAGAATGAGATTGGGGAAGGAATTCTAGAGCCTGTGGCACAATAATAGCCAATTTAGTTTTCCACTCGAGGTCCCTACTGGATTAGTTGTAGAGTCACAGGAGATGGAGTGAAACTGTCCCTTCTCTCTCTGAAATTCTTGCCAGTCATATGAGATATGCATATTCTTTAATTCCTAATTCTTGAAGCATCATTCTGAGGACTGTTACATAATCTGGTGCTGCCAACATTTTGGCAGAATGAATCTATCTTCTCAAGAGTTCTGATAGAACAATTGGTTGTCTTGTCATCTCTGTGCCCAGAGCAATGTGTGCTTGCATGGTTTCCATAACTTAAACAGAATGTGAAGCTATTAGCATTATTTCTACTGTTTCTCTAGGAGTTAAAATCTGTATGAGCTAGGCACACTTCTGCATGCCTATAATCCCAGCACTTTGTGAGGTTGAAGCAAGAGAACCTCAAGTTCAAGTGCCCAGACCTATTTGGCAACTTTGGGACTTAGCAAGGCCCTGTCTGAAAAAAAAATGACTGGGGATGTATCTCAGTGCAGAGACCCTGTGTTCAGTCCCCAGTACCACATATATACATGCACATGTGCACAGAAATCTGTATGAAGAAGGTGATGATTGCAGTAATGCATTTAGGTCCTCCATGTACGTAGTTTATTATTTTTTTAATATTCCTCGTTTAGAGGTAGAAATCCTTAGCTCTTCACTCCTGTCCTTAAAGATTCTGATAGTCATCTACAGAGGTTCAGAATTATTTTCCATAATTTTATTGAGAAACAAATAGCAATGAGACAGTTTCAAATCAAATTGGTAGGACAGTTCCAATAATTAACACATTGTATACTCTCTTCCTAGTGGTTATTTGCTGTACAAGATGCAGACATGCTATCCTATTTACAAACTCTATTAGAACAAATCCCTCTATTCAGTAAGAGAATGTAACTATATATCTATTGTAACCATTTTGAATACACAGATACAAAATGGACATTCATCTGTATCCCCTTTTTTGTTTAGTTCCGTCATTTGAATATTATAGGTGTGTTAACTCAGCAAAATATTCCAAAAGAGTCCAGTAGTCCATAATAGTATTAAGTCTTCCATTTGACTGGAAATGTCAGAAATTGTTGACCTGAGTCCCCTACAGCTCAACA